TATATATATATGGTTCTCCCACCAGATGGGACCAATCTGTCTTCCATGCATTGAATTTTAAATACATTTTTACTTAAACACTAATTGATACATTTTTAACTTAAACATTGATGACTTTTTTTCTAATACTTGTATAATTTTATACAGAAAAAATGGTGAATAAAATTATTGGTGAATATTGCCTAGCACCATGAAATCCCCTCAAAATACAAAATATAAAGGAATACATATTATTGAAAAAATTTAGTACATTAATTTCTTTCAAAAAATGTCACACTTATCGTCTTGTTTAACATGTTTAATCCCTAAGCAAAGAATACCAGAGCGTTAAGGACACACGCCATATGTAGGGACCAAAATAGCATAGAGACTTGCAGAAAGACCTTTTTGATATGGTCTAATAAGCAGCCACCTAGCAACACCCTAGTAGTTGCATAGCAATGTGCTAAAAACTACTTGTGGGGTGGGGTGGGGCAGTTGCATAAACATAGCCACTATGTTGAGACTGTGTCTTAAGAACTAATTTGACCAACTAGTCAACTTTTTGGATTCAATTTAGACCAATATACCTTTTTATGTAACTGACTTATGACCAGTCTTGAAAAAAAAATTATATGACTAACTTGTAAGATTAGTCTAAGAGGTTTATGCAACCAGCACTATGACTCAATTCCTTAGCAACCGTATAGCAACACATTGACAACCACCGTTAACATCCAAAAAACAAAAAGTAAAAATCTACTTTGAAACCGAAACCAGCTTCACCTGTCGTTGTATTTTATTAGGGCTGCCATTCGACCCTCATTACTTTATTAACAATGCTGTCTCCAACATCATCTGCTCCATGGTATTTGGCAGGAGGTTTGAGTACACTGACCAAAGGTTTCTGAACATGCTTAGTCTGATGTCTAAAGCCCTTAAACTACAAACGTCTGTGTGGATACAGGTACTGATATGTCCATTCTTATGATGAGATGAAAAGATATAGTGGTCTGTCATAGGCACTCCTAAATTGCCACTAAAGGTGTAACAAAATGCATTATTTGTAAACCAAACTAATAAAATAAAGGTGCCCACCCAAGCTGACCTGCTACTCCATTATAGCTTTACAGTGTTTTCCCTTATATTATGGACCTCCTCCCGGGACCTCATAAAGACCTGTTTTCCTGCTTCCATCAAATTTGTGCGTTTATTAAGGAAGAGGTGGACACGCATTATGCAGACTGGGACCCCTCCTCACCCAGAGATTTTATAGACTGCTATCTTACTGAGATCCAGAAGGTACTATCACTCTCTAATGGCGCTTTTCCACTGCATGGTACGGCACGGTACGGCTCCGGCTGGTTTGTTGTCTGTTGCGGAAGTACAGACGTTCCTCTCGTTGATAGTAGAGGAGCAAATCCAGCGAGAGCTTGATGGGGCGACGCGGAATGGAAAAGTTTTTTTTAGGAGTCATGGTAGTAGAGGCGGCGCAACTATAACGACATGTGAATAATCCCGCC